AGAGGCCACGCCGCCGCGCTGAACGGGCTGCGTTCTCTCGTCCGCCGTACCGTCGCCGGCTGTGGGACAGGCTCTGGAGGAGCAGGGCCGGCCTGCGCGGGAGGATAACGCACAGCCGACCTTTCCGGGAAATGGAGTCCGGGACAGGGAACGCGGTGGGTGCACCGTTTGAAATTCGTCTCGATTCCTCACAGCCTGCGCCCAGCTACACCCTGGGAACTTCGGGGGGGAGGGGTGTCACTGCGCCCAAGGAGTGCCCAGGTGTCCGGAGTCGCCGTTTTGGCCCTTGTTCCGTCGTGACTTTGGCGTGGGTTCCTTCAGGGCTGAGGAGCCGTGGGACCTAAGCTCCTGAGCCCCAGAGCCGGTCCGGGAGGCCGAAGGGAGGGGACTTAGGGCCTGCAAAGGGATGGGGGGGCTGTGGGGAGGAATCGCTAGGCGCGAAACCGGGTCCGGGAGGCCAAGGGGGAGGGGTTTCCAAAATGGGCTGGTATTTTGTTTGAACGTCCAGGCCTGAGGACAATGAGGGGTGGCGAGGCAGGCTTTGCAGGAAAAAAGTCATTGAGCGTCTGGGTGTGAGTGACAGGGTGTTGGGGGTCGTAGAGAGAGGGAGAAACTGGATTCGGGGAGTGGTGCGCGTGTAATTGAAGGTTTAGGTGAGTATCACTGTATATATATCGGAGATTTTTTTTTAATTTAATGGGAGAAAGGTTACACAATTGAGCTAATAAATGATTTAAAGCTTGACTTTTATGTAAAGCTAGAAGTACCTGTTATAGAATGGAAATAAAAAAACAAAGCCAGGGGCTTGGCGGGGAGGAGCAAAGGAGAGGAAAGAAAATGGGGACATCTTTAATAGTGTCAACAATAAAAATAAAAAGAAAATATTCAAAAAATTAAGAGAGAGCCAATTTCAAAGGAACTTTTTTAAAATGGGGTGCTTGCTCTTGTTCAGACCCTGGACAAACTTATGGGTCCTTTTCGAGTCCTGAGTGAAGGGTGTAAGTCTAAGGGATTAAGTCTAAGGTCTAAGGGAGCAGATTTGTGAAGTCCTGGACTAAGAAACAACTTTAAAGTTTGAAGGGTAGTGTCGACCATTGCAAATAGGAAAGAAGTGAATTAGGCAGTGCTGTTCCCACTTTTTGAAGGAAAAACACACATGGCTTACAGAGACCAGGGAATGTAAGTTTGAAGTTCCTCAAGGAAACTCGACAGATCAACTGATTTACCAGTTCCCTCCGGCTACCTCCAGGCCAGATGGATTTTGTTAGGCATATAAAAATAATTTTTTTCTAACCGCAAAGATGCTTTCTCCAAATATTTTATTGCACTTACAACATAATTTAAAATTCTATTTTAGAGAAACATGGATTTGTTGTTCCACCTGTTTAGGTATTCACTGGTTGATTAATGTGTCCTGACCGGGGATGAAC